GTTTTCGTGGGGTGTTTTGTGGGGTGCTTTTCCGCGGGGTCTTCCGCAGGGTGTTTCGTGGGGTGTTTTTCGCATCGTGTTTCGTGGAGTGTGTTTCGTGTTGTGTGTTTCGTCCGGTGTTTCGTGGGGTGTTTTTCGTATGATGTTTTCCGCGTGGTGTTTCGTGGGGTGTTTTCGAGTGGTGTGTCGTGGGATGTTTTCCGTGAGGTGTTTCGTTGGGTGTTTCGTGGGGTGTCTTTCGTGTTGTGTGTTTTGTCAAGTGTTTCGTGGGGTGTTTTTCGTGTGATGTTTTTCGCGCGATGTTCCGTGGGGTGTTTTCATTTCGCGAGATGCTGCGTATGTGTTTCGTGGGGAGTTTCCCGTGAGATGGTCCGCAATATGTTCCTCAGGGGTGTCTTCGTAAAGGGTTCCGTGGGGTGTTCCACGGGGTGGCGCAACCATTGCCACAGCACAACGAGAGCATAAGAAACGCCAACGCAAACCACACCAGCTGTTCAAGGCTTCGTTGCCGGCAGGAGGATGAAGAGGACAAGGACGAGGAGGGGGAAGAGGAGGAGGAAGACGCAAAGAAAGAAGACAAATAGAATGAGGAGGGGGACGACGACGACGACGACGACGACGACGCGAAGGACGAAACCAAGAGATTGGCTACTCCTGAAGGGGAGGACCACCGCACGCTTCTCGGAGTCGCGCGCAAAGACATAATCGTTAGATTTCGTGGGCTTCCTCGTCCTCGCCGCCGTCGTCGTCAGCTTTTCGTGGGATGCTCTTCGTGGGGTGTTTCGTGGGGTGTTCTGCGTGTCGTGTTTCGTGGGGTGTGCTTCGTGTTGTGTGTTTTGTTCGGTGTTCCGTTGTTTTTTCCGTGTGATGTTCTTCGCGCGGTGTTTCGTGATGTGTTTTCGTGTGGTCCTTCGTGGGCTGTATTTCGTAGAATGTTTAGTGGAGAGTTCTTCGTGTCGTGTTTCGTGGGGTGTGTCTCGCGTTGTGTGTTTTGTTCGGTGTCTCGTGGAGTGGTTTTCGTGTGATGTTTTTCGTGTGGTGTTCTTCGTGTGATGGTTTTAGTGTGATGTTCCGTGGGGCATTTTCCCGTGGTGTTTCGTGGGGTGTTTTCCGTAGGGTGTTTCGTGGGGTGTTTCTCGTGTCGTGTTTCGTGAGGCGGGTTTCGTGTTGTGTGTTTCGTTCGTTGTTTCGTGGTGTGTTGTGATTTCCTCGCGTGGTGTTCGTGGGGTGCTTTCGTGGGGTGTTTCGTGGGGCGCTTTTTCGTGGGGTGTTTCGGTCGGTGACTCGTGGGGTGTTTTTCGTATTGTGTTTCGTGGGGTGTGCTTCGTGTTGTGTGCTTCGTTAGGTGTTTCGTGGGGTGGTTTTCGTGCGCTGTTTTTCGCGTGGTGTTTCGTGGTGTGCTTTCGCGTGGTGTGCCGTGGAGTGTTCTTCGTGGGGTGTTTCGTTGGGTGTTTCGTGGGGTGTTCTTCGTGTCGTGCTTCGTAAGGTGTGTTTCGTGTTCTGTGTTCTGTTGAATGTTTCGTGGGGTGTTTTTCGCGTGGTGCTTTTCGCGTGGTGTTTCGTGGAATGTTTTCGTTTCGCGGGAATGCTGCGCATGTGTTTCCTGGGGTGTTTTCCGTGGGATTGTTCACAATACGTTACTCGAGGGGTGTCTTCGTAAAGTGTTCCGTTGGGTGTTCCGTTGGGTGGCACAGCCATTGCCACAGCAAACGAAAGTGAAAGGAACTCCAACGCAAACCGCACCAGCTGTTCAAGGCATCGTCATCGGCAGCGCATTTTTAACGAGATTCCCACAGATTTTCACCGCACCCATGCAAATTCCCACACAGCACAGGAATGTTTCCACATCGCAGAAGCAAGGGTGTAAGCCGTCCCATCATCTGAACACTGTTCTTCCGTAGCCAGCTTCTGGCTCAAGGAACTCTTGGAACACAACAGGACACGAAGACATACAGTATGTCGAAACGCCGCTTTGCCTCTTACTGCGCATGCGGTTGCGAAACTCCAGTGCCCGAGTCCCGCCTCACGTCCACTCGGCGCGAAGCATGGGTACTCCATGTCAACGAGGAAACTCACCTCTTAGCGCGATGGAGCTGTCTGACGGTCTTCTGTTTAAGTCATAAGAAGGCCAGAAAGCCTGCCATTGAGCTTTGCGAGAAATGGAGACCCACACGTGGAACAGGCGTGCAACTCTGCGCATCTACCATCGAGGGCATCAAGACCGGCATGGTGCTGACTACTGACGGCACTTTGGTTTCACCCCAAGAGTGGTCAGCATCGCGAGAGAAGTCGCAGAGGCCCACCAAAAAACGCAAAGCTCCGTCACTGACCGTGGCGCTGCGGCATACAGCGACAGAGTTCGATCCGGGCCGCGTGGCGGATTACTGTCGCATGACACTCTTCTTCCTTGCCGAGTGGCTAGACCGGATTGGCGAGGGCATTGATGGCGCCGCGGACGAGTTCTTCCTACAGTTTCCCTCGGAACAACAGAAGGCCCTGCGAGGGCCCCAGGCTCGCGCACGCAACAACTTTCATTACAAATTTGACACCACTCACTTGCACCTGCATACGCAATGCATCCCAGCCGACGGGCCGCTCTTTCTTGGCAACCTCGTCATAGACCGGGTCGTTTTGAACAGTGCCTCCAGACTGAAAGCAATGAAAGCGCCTTTCAAGTTCAACATGGACGCAGATTGATTCTTTCTTGAAGAAATACGACAACAAATGGATAGAACCTCGGTGCGCAGAGACTGGCGCGCCTGTTGCGGGAGCGCCGCCTTCGTCCTTGCTTGGGTCTGCCAGAGGAGTTCTTTCGACTTTTGGCAAAGACACACATCGGGAAAATTGTGCAGAATATGTCCACTGGGTGTGCATGGCCAACGGGGCTCGTTGCCGCGCCGTGTGGGCGACCATCCTCGAGGGCCCCCGGATTTCTGGGGTGACCCAAAATGACCATGTCATTAAATGTTTAGGTGAGCTGCGTCTGCGCGGCATTCTGGCCGACGTGGTGGCCCGGGACATCGGTACGCAGTACCCGGACCTCTTCGATGCACCTTCCTGTACTCGTGCAGGTTACTACGCCCACATCGGCCTGATCATGCTCGGCGGTGAAGACCGCCCCCAGGCAGACCGACTCGCCGAGAAGGGCGGCCCCGATAGTGTCAGCAAAACCTGTGCGACCTCTTGCGTGTATTTCCAGATGCTATCAAAGCTGTTGCATCTGACCTCGGTCGGAAGGGGCAGAAATTGATAAACAAATTGGAACATTATGCTTCTTTACAGGATGCACAGATGCTGGCGCACCTCGCGTGCGAATATCGGAAGCTGTATTATCCAAAGGGCCGGCCATACGCCGGGGGCCGTACTTCCCCTACAGAGTATTGTAAATTACTACGTCAATTTCTACGACAGTGCTCATAGATATTTGCCAGCGATCAGGTTGATATGATATCATTGTTGTTGCAATGTACTTGCCCGCCTTGGCACACACAAAAAGCATCATTAATTTGCGGCGCCGGGTCCCCGGAAAACCACCGCTGCGGTTTCTCCGCTCGTTTTCGCCCCTCTCGCTTTCCCGGGATTCCTCCTCAGCCCTGTGGGGGCCGAGCGAGAAAACCGAAAGAAACAACACCACCTCCAGAAGGGCCGTTTTCGTCATCGTCTTCGTTCTCCTCCTTTTCCGCTTTCCCGCTGCGCAATCGCCATCGTCGCCGTCGCTGTCGCGGTCGCCGCCCCCCCTCTGCGCGGGGGTCGAAGGCCCTTCCGCGACAGGCCCGATCTAAAATGAGGAGGATGAGGAGGAGGAGGGGGAGGAGGAGGAGGAGGAGGAGGAGGAGGAAGAGTGGGACCAGAGGGAAGAACAGGAGAAGGAGGAAACGCAACTAGCATTCCTTGGCGTTCCCCGAATCCTCACAAGGCTGCCCATCCAGAAACGATGTCCGGGCGACTTGAAGTGTTGTTGAGACGGGATTCCCCGAGATCTTTTGGAGCCATCTTGGGCCTCTCTTCGGATCCTCTTGGGCACTGCTGAGGCCTCTTGGGGCTCTCTGAGCGTTTGCTTAGCCCCCTCAGGGAGCTCTTGCCGAGAATCTGCGAGTTCTCTCGGAATCATCTTCGAAGCCAGCGTTGAAGAAGCAAGCAGGGCGGCAACAAAAGAGGTCCCCCCTGTCTCCCCTTTCCGCTGGCCCTTCCAGGTGCAAGGACCAAGATTAGAAGGCGAAGCGCAGCGAGCCTTAAAGTCTTGTATATATATATATATATATATATTATATATATATATATATATATATATAATATATATGTGTGTGGGCACGTCTTTTACTATGACACCAGGGATAAATGGGCACGATGAGAAAAGGCCTGGGTGTTTCTTCACAGGGCGCAACTTATTACAGTCAACCCGCATAGTAAAAGGATGGGCAACCTTCCCAAGGGTATCCTTGCATCCTTGCCTCCTCGGTCCATCCTTGGCCACTCTCGTTGGCCGCGCCCCGCTCCAGAAGCTTCGCAACGGCCTTCCAAGGCCCTTGCGCCCTTACCGCGCATCCTTACTATACACGGTTTGGCTGTCATGGGGAAGGAGGGGCCGCCTCCGCCGCCCAGAGGGCCGCTCTCGCAGGCAGCCGCCTGCCGCCCAGAGGGCCGGTGGGACCACCTCCGCCGCCCAGAGGGCCCAGAAGACACACCTGGTTGAACCACCTCCGCCCAGAGGGCCGGTGGGGCCCAGGGCCGCTCTCGCAGGCAGCCGCCTGCCGCCCGGGCGGGGCGCGCGGCGCGCGCCCGCGCGGCGGGGCTGGGCGCCGCCGCCGCCCCGCTCGAGGATCGACCCTCCGTCGGCCCTCGGCCCTCGAGGGGTCCTCGGCCCTCACCGGGTCCTCGGCCCTCGATCGGTCCTCGAGGGGCGGTCCTCGGTCCTCGAGGCATCCTCGGTCCTCGGCCGGCCCTCGGCCCGAGTCCGCGCGTGCCCCGCGCGCCTCGCGCCGCGCGCGCCCGCCGACGAGGTGCGGCGTCGCACGGCGCTTCCTGGCCAGGCTGGAGGAGCAGATGGGCGAGCGGGCGGCCGGCCCGCTCGCCGCCATCTTCGCCGAGACTCACGAGGCGGGCGCCCGCGCGCGGCGCGGGGCCTCGGGCCCTCGGGGCCGGCAGGGGTGGGCTGCCGAGGACCGGCCGCAGCGCTGCTGGGCCCTGGTCTGGGCCTCTGGCTTGGCATCGCTCGGGCGTGTGCATCTTTCCTTCGGCGAGGGCCGTCGAGGAGCATCCTTGATCCTTCGGCGGAAAGCCGCGCACGAAGTCGAACAAAAAACACAGGGAATGGACGTCCGAGCGGCGGCGAGCTGGTCTGTCCTGCTCGCTGGGCTGGTCGCTGCTGTTCCGTGACGTGCGTTCGCTCCCGTGTCGAGCGGTTCGTGGCGTTGTTCGTGCCGCTCGGCTCCGGCTTCGTGCCAAAGCTTCGTTTGGAACGTGGGGCTCCGTGTCGCTGCTCGCCGTATGCGTCATTTTTTGTTTGTGGTCGGTCCTTCCAGCGTTTTCTTTCGGCGTCGTCGTTGAACTAACTTTTCGGCGCCCAGCCCAGGGGCGGGGACGGCGGAGGGCGCGGCCCCTTGCCGAGCTCGGAACGGCCTCGGGCCTTCCGAGAATAGCCTGCTCGGCCCGCCCCGAAGGCACGGAGAGCTCCTCGGAGGGCGCGAGGGGCGTCTGAGAGGCCCCGCGGCCTTCCGAGAAGGCATGCCCCCTCCTCCTCCTCCTCCTCCTCCTCCTCCTCCTCCTCCTCCTCCTCCTCCTCCTCCTCCTCCTCCTCCTCCTCCTCCGCCCCCTCCTCCTCGATTTTGCCTTTCGGCACGCACGAGATGGGTAGAGAAAGAATGGGTACACTGCCCAGCAGCAGTTTCCTGTCCATTTCGGACAGGACTCGCTGTCCGCGCCGCGGCGGCCTGCGCCCACTTGAGACAGACGGCCGCATGCCCAACAGCGGCCGCTGCTGGTTTGGGACAACATTTGTTGTTGGGCATCGTGCCAATCTTTTCCGTACCCGTTTCGGGCGTCCAAAGCCTTGGGGCCACCGCGAGGCGAAGGTCGAGGACCGCCTGGGGCAGGGCCACAACCAGCGAGCGAAGTCCAGGCCTCGGGGTCGGCCATGGACTTGCCCCTCGGGGAGGGAGGGAGGGCGGAAGGGGGCGGCGTCGGGACCGCGAGGTGAAGGTCGAGGACCGCCTGGGGCAGGGCCACAGCCAGCGAGCGAAGTCCAGGCCTCGGGGTCGGCCATGGACTTCTTGCCCCTCGGGGAGGGAGGGAGGGCGGAAGGGGGGCGGCGACGGGCGCGCGGGCGCGCGTATATAGACCAGCCCCTCGGCTGCGCAGGAGGAGGGGGGAGGGGGAGTGAGGGGAGGCGGGAAGGGGAGGAGGGGAGGAGGGAGGGAGGGGGAGGAGGAGAGGGGGAGGAGGAGGGGAGGGGGAGTGAGGGGGAGGGGCGGGGAGTGATGGGAGGGAGGCAGGATTGGGCGGAGGGGCGGTCCGGGGAGGGGGGGAGAGGTTCCTGCTGCTGGTGCTCCTCCCATGCCTCTTCTCCCACTATCTCCTCCCCCCTCCTCCTCCTCCTCCGCCTCCGCCTCCTCCTCCTCCTCCTCCTCCTCCTCCTCCTCCTCCTCCTCCTCCTCTCCCTTCCTCCCTTCCTCCCTCCCTCCTCCCTCCTCATCATCAGCAGCAGCATCAGCATCAGCATCAACATCATCACGTTGACACCACCGTCACCGTCACCGACAATCATCATCATCATCATCATCATCATCATCATCATCATCATCATCATCATCATCATCATCATCATCATCATCATCATCATCATCATCATCATCATCGTCCATCATCATCCATCATCATCATCATCATCATCCCCTCATCCTCATCATCATCATCCTCCATCATCATCATCATCATCCATCATCCTCATCCTCATCCTCATCCTCATCATCATCATCATCATCATCATCATCATTATCATTATCATTATCATTATCTTCATCATTATCATTATCAGCATTATCAGCATCATCAGCATCATCAGCATCATCATAATCATTACCAGCATCATCATCACCACCATCATCATCATCGTCCTCCTCCTCCTCATCATACTTATCAGCAGCATCAGCATCAGCATTAGCATCAGCATCATAATCCGCATCACCATCAGCATCAGCGACATCATCATCAACCCAATATCAGAAAGAGCGTGTTCTACCGCTGCTGGCGGAAAACCGGGGGGGGATCACTACCGGTTCGAACCCCTCCCCCCCCCTCCGGAAAACCGGGGGGGGTCACTACCGGTTCGAACCCCTCCCCCCCCCCAGTTCACCATGAAAAGTGGAGGGGGGGTCACTACCGGTTCGAACCCCCCCCCCCCTCGAAAACCGGGGGGGGTCACTACCGGTTCGAACCCCCCCCCTTGAAAACCGAGGGGGGGTGCGGACAGTGGTGGTGACGGTGGTGATGGGGACAGTGGTGAGGGGACAGCGGGACAGTGGTGGGGACAGTGGGACAGTGGTGGGGACGGTAGTGGTGGTGACACTGGTGAGGACAATGGTGGGAACAGTGGGGACAGTGGACAGTAGTGGGGACGGTGGTGGTGGGGACAGTGGTGTGGGGACAGTGGGAATGAGGTGGAAACAGTGGGACAGTGGAGGGTACAGTGGTGGTGGGGACAGTGGTGAAGGCGGTGGCGAGGATGGCGGTGGGACAACGGGACAGAGGTACAGTGGGGACAGTGGTGGGGACAGTGGGGACAGTGATGGGAACAGTGGGGCAGCTCAGTGGGACAGCGGAGGAGTCAGTGGGACAGTGGGGACAGTGGGGATAGTTGGGCAGTGGTTGGGGCCGTGGAGAAAGTGGGGAGAGTGGAACCGTGGTGGGAACAGTGGTGGGGTCAGTGGGGACAGTGCGACAGTGGTGGGAGCACTGGTGGGGACAGTAGGGACGGTGGTGGAACCAGTGGGGACAGTGGTGGTGAGGACAGTGGTGCTGGGAACTACAGTGGAGAATGTGGTGCGGACGGGGGTAGGGACCGGGAGTCGTTTGCTGGCGGTGAGTGGGGAGGGGTGGGGAGGGGTTCGAATGGTAGTGACCCCCCTCCGGTTTCGAGGGGGGGGGGGGTTCGAAGCCGGTAGTGACCCCCCCCGGTTTTCGAGGGGGAAGGGGGGGGGGGAGGGGTTAGGGGAGGGGGGGGGTTTTGCTGGGGGAGGGGGGGTGGGGGTCCAGCAGGGGGGGGGATTTTCGGAGGGGGGGGGGGATCCCCGGGTTCCGGAGGAACAGGGCGGCAATTTTCCACAGTAAAGCGGCGGTGGATCCCGCTCCCTCATATCATCATCAGCAGCAGCATCACCATAATCATCGTCAACATCATCATCACCATCATCAACATCATCAGCGTCGTCATCATCATCCTCATATTCCTCAGCAGTATCATCATCAGTGCCATCATCACCATCATCAGCATCATCATCAACATCATCATCGTCATCATCATCAACAGCAGCGACATCATCACCATCCGCATCCGCATCGCATCAGCATTGTTGCACTCATCATCACCATCGTCGCCGCCTCCAACATTATCATCATCATCCTCATCATCATCGTCATTATCAGTATCAACATCATCAGCATCATCATCGTTATCAGCATCATCATCACCACCATCATCATCATCATCGTCCTCCTCCTCCTCACCATCATCCTCATATTCCTCAGCAGTATCATCATCAGTGCCATCATCACCATCATCAGCATTATCATCAACATCATCAGCATCGTCATCATCATCAACAGCAGCGACATCATCACCATCCGCATCCGCATCCGCATTAGCATTGGTGTCGTCATCATCACCATCGTCGTCGCCACCAACAGTATCATCCTCATCAGCATCAGCATCATCATCAGCATCATCAGCATCATCATCATCATCATCGTCACCTGCAGCAGCAACATCAACAACATCATCATCACCATCATCACATCATCATCATCATCATCATCATCATCATCATCATCATCATCATCATCATCATCATCATCATCATCATCATCATCATCATCATCATCATCATCATCATCTCGGGCGCCCTCGGAGGCCCTCGGGGGCCCTCGAAAAGAGGCCCTCGGAGGCCTGCGCGGGGTCGTCGCGGCGGCGGCGGCGACGGCGGTCGTCGCCGTCGTCGCCGTCGTCGCCGTCGCCATCGCCGTCGCCGTCTCCACCGCCGCCGGTTCTGGCGCCGCTGGCATCACCCTCAGCAACTTGATCCCCATTCTCATCCGCATCCGCATCCTCATGCTCAGCTTCATCCTCACCCTCCTCCTTTTCCTCCTCGTCCTCCTCCTACTCCTCCTCCTCCTCCTCCTCCTCCTCCTCCTCCTCCTCCTCTTCTCCTCTTCCTCCTCCTCGTCCTCCTCCTCCTTCCTCCGGGACCTCCTCCTCCTCCTCTCCTCCTCCTCCTCCTCCTCCTCTCCTTCCTCCTCCTCCTCCTCCTCCTCCTCCTCCTCCTCCTCCTCCTCTCTCCCCTCCTCCCCTCCCCTCCCCCCTCCCCCCTCCTCCCTCCTCCCTCTCCCTCTCCCTTCCTCCCTTCCTCCCTCCTCCGCCCTCCTCCCTCCTCCCTCCCTCCCTCCCTCCCTTCCCGCCCCGCACCCGCCCGTGCCCAGCATGGGACCCCGCGCCAGCCCCCTGCCAGGACGGGGTCATGGACGCGGCGCAGCGCCAGATGGCCCTGAGATCCCTCTCGGCTGCGAGCGAGGGGGGGAAGTGAGAAGGAGGAGGCCGTGTCAGAAGGCTCGGGAGCCCTCAGGCCTTCTGAGAAGTTCTTTGTTCCTTGCCCGAGGACGCAGAAACATTCTCAGAAGGCGGGGGGGGGGCTTCTGAGAAGGCCCGCTGCCTTCTGAGAGGGCCTCCTTCGCTCCTTCCCCCCCCTTGCTCGCCGCTGGCCCTCGGCTTTCGCTGCCTTGAGCACGATTACGTGCAGCCGCCCCTGAGCGCGAGCCATAGGCCTCTCGGGGGCAACGTCGGGGGAGATGGGGGCCAGGACGGTGGTACATAGGTGGCTCTCGCCGGGCTTCTGGCCTCGGGATGCGTCCCAGCGGCTGCGCCTCGCCAAGGGCGTTCTGGGGGTGCCCCTCGCTCGCCGCCGAATCTCGCAAGACCCGCGCAAGCTCGAGTTTGGTGGCTCTCGCCGGGATTCCAGCCTCTGGATGCGTCCCCCCAACTGCGCCTCGCCGAGGGCGTTCTGGGGGTGCCCAGATCGTCCCGAACGAACGACATTGGGGGGGCAGGGGGGGGGAGGGGGAGGATGCATCGACGATCCCCAGTCGCCCATTGATCGCCCACCCCACCTGGGAACGTGCGGATTCGCCATCGGGGGCCAGGTCCATGTTTCCCTTCCCGAGCCGGCCCACCCCAAATTGTTACCCCTCGAGGCCGTGCGGAGGGCTCCGGCTGCTCGTGAGGGGCAAGGAGCGGCTGGACCCGTCCGTGGTGGTCGCCTACCTCGACAATTTCGCGGGGAGTGTGTGCGACTACGACGGCAGCAGGAAGTCCGAGAAGTACTACGTCGACCAGGTCGAGGCGCTGGCCCAGGCTCGAGGAGGAGGAGGAGGAGGAGGAGGAGGATGATGAGGCGGAGGAGGAAAAAGAGCAGAAGGAGGACGAATAGAAGGAGGAGGAGGACGAATAGGAGGAGGAGGAGGAGGAGATGAGGAAGGAGGAGGAGGAGGAGGAGGAGGGGAGGAGGAGGAGAGGAGGGGAGGGGAGGAGGGAGGAGGAGAGGCGGAGGAGGAGGAGGAGGTCCAGGAGGAGGAGGAGGCGGAGGAGGAGGAGGAGGATCCAGGAGGAGGAGGAGGAGGAGGCGGAGGAGGAGGAGGAGGAGGATTCGCACGCCGCTCAAGACTCGCCACGCGTGTCCACCCTGCGCCCCGCGCTGCGTGTGCATGCGCCCCGCCTGCCCGGGCCTGGCCGGGCCTGGCCGGGCTGCCTCCCCGCCGGGCTCCCTGGCGTGTCGACGCGGCGGCGACCCCCGCGCGCGCGTTCGGGGCCGCACGCCGCGAGTGGCCCGCGAGTTGGCCGATCTGACCCCAAAGGGAGGGAGGGAGGAGCAGGGAGGGGAAGGAGGAGGGAGGGGAAGGAGGAGGGAGGGGAAGGAGGAGGAGGAGGGAGGGGAAGGAGGAGGGAGGAGGGAGGAGGAGCAGGGAGGGGAAGGAGGAGGGAGGGGAAGGAGGAGGAGGAGGAGGGACGAGTTTCTATTCCAAGGAGGAGGGAGGAGGGAGGAGGAGCAGGGAGGGGAAGGAGGAGGGAGGGGAAGGAGGAGGGGGAGGGACGAGTTTCTGTTCCCCGCCGAGAGCTTAGGGGGGGGGGGCATCATGAACGGCCCTCCGCGGTTCTCGAAGGATCTGCGCTGCCTGGGAAGCCGCGCTCGCTCCAGGCGGAACCGAGCGAGCCGCGCGGGGTCCGCAGCCAACGCTGACGGGCCTTCCCGGCGCGAGCCTGCGGTGCACGGGCGGCATCGGACGACCTGCGCTGCCGGGGAGGCCGCACTCGCGGAGGGTCCAACGACCCACGCGGTGTCCGAAGCCGCCGACCAGGGACGCCGCGGTGCGAAGTTGCCCTGCACCACATCTTGGCGCCTCGCGCTCCAGCTCCAACGGATGCCCGCGGCGTGGGAAGCCGCCCACCCGCGCCACTCCTTGGCCTCGGCATCGCTCGGACGTGTGCATCTTCCCTTCGGCGAGGACCATCGAGAGCATCCTTGATCACTTGGCGGCAAAAGCCACGCGCGAAACCGCACAGAAACACGGGGAAGGGACGTCCGAGCGATGGCGAGGGGCGCCTCGCGCTCCAGCTCGGACCATCCCGCGCGGCGTCCGAAGCCACCGGCCCCCGGCCGCCGCGGCGCGAGCCCGCCCTGCACCAGTCTTCTAGGCCTCCTGGATGGGGTCGGGGTAGGAGGAGGAGGGAGAGGAGGAGGGGGAGGGGGAGGAGGAGGAGGAGGAGGAGGAGGAGGAGGAGGAGGAGAGGAGGAGGAGAAGGAGAAGGAGGGAGGAGAGGGTGAGGAAGAGGAGGAGGAGGAGGAGGAGGAGGAGGAGGAGGAGGAGGAGGAGGAGGAGGAGGAGGAGGAGGAGGAGGAGGACGGGGCCAGGGCGAGGAGGACTCGGACTCCTAGACGGGGTCCGAGTAGGTGGGGTCGGAGGATCGCGCCATGCATCGCCGATGCATCGCGGATGCGGCTCGACGTGGAGCGCGACTTGCTTCACGCCGACGTCGCCGATGCATCGCCCACGTCGACGATGCATCGCCGGTGCATCGCCGGTGCATCGCCGATGCATCGCCGATGTGTCGGCGATGCGGCGCGATCCTCCGACCCCGTCCAGGAGGCCTCTACAGATCCAGGGCGCCCGGGAGGGGCGCGGCGAGTGCCGCCGCACGCCCGGCGGTTCTCCCCGCAGGTGTCGGGGGCGGAAAAGGAGGAGGAGGAGGAGGAGGAGGAGGAGGAGGAGGAGGAGGAGGAGGAGGGGAGTCACAGCGTCGGCCAAGGAGGAGGAGGAGGAGGAGGAGGAGGAGGAGGAGGAGGAGGAGGAAGAGCAGGAGGAGCAGGAGGAGCAGGAGGAGCAGGTGTCGGGGGGTGATGACTAGGGGGGGGGTATCATGGCGTGGGCCATGGTATTTCCCCAAACCTCATGGCGCCTCGTCTTGTCTCATGACGCCGCTGGCCCCCCCGCTGGGCCGCGCACGTGCCGCTGGTCATGATTTGCACCCCCCCCTCTTGGACACCCCCCTCTTGGCCGCGCCCGAAGGTGGCTTTCGTGGAGACCACCCAGGAGCTCCCATGGTGAGCGCGCCTTCTCGAGGCCTGCGAACCTCCGACGGCATCGGCATCGGTCGACCTCGCGCACGCGGGGGGGAGGGGTGCGGCGGGGGTCAGAGGAGGAAGCGGTTCCGAGGCTGCTGCCCTGGCCTCGCTTCCGCCGTGTCTGGGCCTCCTGGGACCCCCTGGTCGCTACGGCCGAATTCGCCTCGACGCTCTGGTCAGAACGCACCCAGGAAGAGGCCCGCAGAGTACGTCAGGTTCGCGTCGTGTCGACCAGCGGCGACCCCGCCACAGGCGTTTAACGTCGAACGCCGCCGGCGACCCAGAACCAGTCGATGTCGAACGATACGAAGTTTCGGAAACGGCGGATACGGTGGCAGAAACCAGCGCCGAAGTCGGCGCAACACGAACCTGCCGCAGCGGTGTCGGTGCCTTTGTTGGCCCCAAGGGGGGACGGGGGGCGGTGTGGCCCGATGGCCCCAGCCTGCCCAGGAACGTGGGGACTCACTGTCGGGGGCCTATCGCTGGTCTATCGGCGATGTATCGCCGATTCCAGGTCGATGTGTCCCCCCCCCACCGTTGCTGGCGTGAAAAACGCCCATCTAGAAACGGCACTGCGAAGTGCCCGTCCCCGGACTCCCCATTTCAACGTTGCGTTCGCGGCCACTGTCGGGGTGCAAGCATCGGCATAAAAAACGCCCAGATCTTCACCGCCAAGGCAGCCACGCTTTCAACGTTGAAATTGGAGGCGCGGGGGTCCTCAGTACGCGCCGGTCGTTGAAAGTAGGTATTCTTGGATTCGCAGATCCCAATCTATTTCAAGCGCCATCCTACTTCAAGAATCGACACGCTGTCGCTGTGCTTTGTTATTCCCTGGGGGGGCCTGGACCCAATCAGCTTAATCCGCCTTCGCCTTCCTACTTCATGTTTTTACCTACTTCTTCCGACCGACGTGTACGCCTGGCGGGCGTTTTTCGCGCCAGTGGCAGTGAAAATGGGCAGCACACAGAGGAAGGGTCCCCCAGTGGAGGCCTACCTATCGGAGCGTGTTGGGCGCCTCGGAGGGCCTCCTGGGGCCTGCGACCAGAGGGCCGGTGGGATTGGGGGCGCGAGGGTCCTCAGCTTGGCATCGCTCGGACGTGTGCATTTTTCCTTCGGCGAGGAGCATCGAGGCACATCCTTGATCATTTCGCGAAAAAGCCACGCACGAAACCGAAAAAAAAACACAGGGAAGGGACGTCCGAGCGATGGCCAGTCCGCACATCCGCGTCGACATCTGCGCCTGGTGGGCGTTCCTCGCGCCAGGGCGGCGGCGTGCCAGCCCCGCCCTGGCGCCCCCCCACGAGGGCGAGGCCCGGCTGCGCCCGCGGGCCGCCTTCCCCGGCGGGCCCCCCTTCGCTCCCGACCGCCTCGCCCGGCGCCGTCTCTCGTCGGTGGTCGTCGTGGTCGTCGATGGTCGTCGTCGTGGTCGTCGCCGCTGGTCGAAGCCCGTGCTCGTCGTCGTCGTCGTCGTCGTCGTCGTCGTCGTCGTCGTCGTCGTCGTCGTCGTCACGTACCATCGTCCATCTGCATCGTTATTCCTCGCTGCCGTGTTTGTGGTGGTCGCCGTCGCCGCCGCCGCCATTTTCGTCGTCGTCGTCGTTGTCGTCACCCGCCCATTAGGGCCCTCCCGTCCGACCCGTCCGCTCGCTCGTCTGTGCGTGTGTTAGTCGAAAGCCCGCTCGCCCACTTTGATATCCCACCCCGCCCGACGAGCTTTTTGGGGCCGCCCGGCGACGCGATTCGGAGCGAAGCCGTTCGGGGCAAAGCGGGTTCGGGCGAAGCGGTCCTTTGGCGAAGGGGCATCGTTCTAGGCCTACTAGATGGGGTTGGAGTAGATGGGGTCGGAGGATCGTGCCGCATCGCCGATGCATCGCCGATGCGGCTCGATGTGGCGCCCGCTTTGCTTCACGTCGACGTCGCCGATGCATCGCCGACGTCGACGATGCATCGCCCCGTGCATCACCGATGCATCGCCGATGCATCGCCGATGTATCGGCGATGCGGCCCGATCATCCGACCCCATCTACTCCGACCCCGTCTAGGAGGCCTCTAATCGTGCCATTCCTCAGCGGAGCAACAATAGCGCCCCGACCCCCAGAACGGGCGCGTGTGCTGAACAGCTTGGGGTGGTGGTAAGACCGGAAAGCCCGGTTCGGTTGTTCCTACGGGTGCGTTTACCTAGGAGGCCCTCGCCTGCCAACGGGTAGTGCTTTCCATGAGGGTGGCTCTCCTGCCGCCCTTGTTACAAGAGCCCTCAGAGAAGTCCTGCGCATCAGGCGGGTCGCTTGCCCGCCCTCCTATAGCGAAGACGCTGCAGTAAGCACCGCTTTGAATTCCAGAGGGGCTCGGGTTTTCGGGCCATGCCTGAGATCTATATCGTGGAACCTTTTTGGTGGCCTGGGCCCGCCGTTGCCAGAAAAACGCCCCTTCGTCCCTTACTACGCGCTCCGCATGGTAGCTCGATGACTGTACCGCAGGAGCCCTCGGAGAAGCCCTGGTACTTTCCATGAGGGTGGCCCTCTTGCCCTCCCACTGCACCAGCCCTCCGAGAAGCCCCCGTGCCCCCTTGGAGGCCCCCCCCCACCACTTCGCCCCTCGCCACCCCCGCCCTCCTGGCTGTTCGGAGGTGGGTCCCTGAGGGGTGGGGCCCTACACTGCCCTGGAAAAGCAATGCAGCTTGAAGGGGCGCCCCCCCCCTCCACCTCGCCCCTCGCCGCCCCCCGCCCACCCGGCGGTTCAGAGGTGGGGCCCTGAGGGCACTGCCCTGGAAAAGCTGCCTACCCCCCCCCCTCCACCTCGCCCCTCGCCGCCCCCCGCCCTCCCGGCGTTCAGAGCTTGGGCGCCTGAGGCTCGGGTGGGGCCTCCTCTTCTTTTTTCCAGGCTGTTTTTTTTTTCTTTTTGTTTTTTTTTTTTTTTTTTTTTTTATTTGTTTTTTTTTTTTTTTTTTTTTTTTTTGTTTTTTTTTTATTGCAAAAATTTGTTTTTTTTTTTTTTTGCTTTTTTTTTTTTTTTTTTTCTTTTTTTTTTTTTTTTTTTTTTTTTTTTGTTTTTTTTTTTTTTTTTTCTTTTTTTTGCAAAAGCAGTGCAGCGCTGGACCGTCGAGGCTGCGTGGTTTCGCCGCCTTCGGCTCTGTGGCTGGGCCTGACTTCTGGTTCCTTTTTTTTTCTCTTTTTATTTTTATTTTTTTTTTTTTTTTTTTTTTTTTTTTTTTTTTTTTTGTTTTTCTGGGGGGGGGCCGTTCTTCGGGCCCCCAGCCACCGTCTCGGGACGGACCCGAACATAAAAGCTGCCCCCCAGAGAAGTCCCCCGGACGATTCTTCGGCACGACCTTTGGGCGTCGCGTAATGGGCGGCGATGCATGGGGCAGCGAGGGCTGCAGAAACGGGGCCTTTTAGGGCCCACAGGGGGGCTTGTCGGGCCCGAAAAATGCACCTCCTTTCTCTCCCCCCCCCAGTAAGCGACGCTCCAGACCTGCACACATTGCATTCCTTTTTCCCCGCGGGGGTGTAGGAACGAGTGGCCTCAGGCAGTGGGGGCTTCGCTCGGGGTCATTGCCCCGGTCCTTCGGGCCCCACCCCACCCCTTGGGACCCCATCTCGGAACCGCCAGCCCTCCTGCTCGTGCGCCTTCCAAATCGGGTCCGAGCAGATGTGGTCGAAGGGTCGCTCCGCATTGCCGATGCATGGGCGGTGCGACTCAATGTGAAGCCCGCTGTTCTCCACGCCGGTGTCGCCGATGCATCGCCGACGTCGCTGGCGCGATCCTCCGACCCCATCGACTCGGACCCTATCTATCGACGACCAGCCCAGGGGGAAAGTGAGAAGGGGCGGGCCTTCTCAGAAGGCTCGGAAGCCCCCCTGGCCTATGAGAGGCTCCCTGAGCCCTCCCCGAAGGCACGGGGAACACCCCTCGGAGGGCGCGAGGGCTTCTGGGAAGCCCCGCCGCCTTTGAGAAGGCCCTCGTCTCCTCACCTCCCCCCCTCGCTCGCCGCCGACTCGCCGTGCGGCCTCGGCGTGCGCGCCGCCGCGCCGGGCGGCCTCGGAGGGCGGCATCGCACGCGGCGCGCCCGCCACGGGGGCCACCGTGCAGGCCGAGCGCCCCGCCCCGGGCGGCGGGCGCCGGGCCGCGGCGGGTGCGGCGCGCTCGCCGAGCGGGGCGCGAGCGAGGCCGGCGTGAGAAGCTCCGAGCGCGGGCGCGGGTGCCCCCTCCTCCTCCTCCTCCTCCTTCCTCCTCCACCTCCTCCTCCTCATCTCCGCCTCCACTCTCATCAACCTCCTCCACCTCCTCCACTCCTCCTCCTACTCCTCCTCCTCCTCCTACACCGCCTTCACCCCTCCCACCTCCTCATCCTCCACCTCACCTCCACCTCCTCCTACTCCTTCCTCCACTCTCCAGATACAGCTCCCCTCCATCATCCACCTTCCTCCACCTCCTCCTCCACCTCCTCTCTCCGCCTACACCTCCTCCACCTCCTTCACCTCCTCCACCTCCTCCACCTCCTCCACCTCTTCCTCCTCCCCCTCCTCCTCCTGAGACGCTGAGGCGCTGATGGCAATGGTGTTCGTCGAACGCTGCCGCTTCTCGTCCTTCTACTCCTCCTGCTCCTTCTTCTCCTTCTCCTCCTCCTCCTCCTCCTCCTCCTCCTCCTGCTCCACCTCCCTCCCTCCCTCCCTCCCTCCCTCCCTCCCTCTCTCTCTCTCTCGCTCGCCGCCGAGGCTTGCCAGAGGTCTTCGTCTGGGGGGGCAAGAGGGGCAGGGGCCCGACCAAGCGCGGGCAGAGAGCCGCCGCGGCGGGCGCCGCGCGCTCGGGTCTGGCCAGGGAGGGTCCGCTCCGGAGGCCCGCCCAGGCGCGGGCGCTGGGCGCAAAGTAATGTCAGGAGGTGAAGAACACGCAGAAACAAATCTTCGTCGAAACTATGGGAAAGGATTGGAAATGGGGGGGGAAGACGAACGTCCAGAAACTATGAGAGAATCTGGGACACCCTTGGACTTGTGTGTATTTACTTGTGTGTCCCTGGGCCCCCTTCATGATGGGGGGGCCAGAGATGGAGGGGGTAGCGAGGGCTGCAGAAAAGGGGCCCTTCAGGGCCCCTGAAGGTCCCTCTTTGAACCACCGAAGGATGGGTCCCAAGGACGAGGCGCTTCAACCAGTGTGAATCCACCCTTGGATCCCTTCCTATCCTTGCGATCCCATCTCTCAGGGCCTCATCTTTGAACCACCGAAGAGGTCCTGCGGACGGGCAGGGGGGCGAGCAGGT